ATCGAATCCACTTAGGTATGTATTGTGGGCACGTACAATCGTTTGAGGACGAGGAGTAGGCTCTGTCCTGGGCTCGGCCCATTGGCAAATCATATCCACCGATGTATGTATCGTGGGTACGTACAATCAATCAAGGACAAGGAGTAGGCTCTGGCCTGGGCTCGACCCATTCACTTTTTCCCCTTTTTGCCCGGTTACATTTTTTTCCTTCTTTTGAGCTTCAAAAAATATTGTACCATTTGGGATTCAAACACATCACATAGTGGTTTAATCCTGACCATAGTTACCAACTGGAACAGAAGGCTTGTTGTGTGTAGCTCTACCTTTTTTTTCTTGTTGTGTACATTTACGATTCTGGTTCTACGAGATTTTTCTGAGCGATTTTTATTTCCTTTTTCATGCATGGTTTTCACTTGTTTTTTTCTTTCTTTTTCCTTTTTCTTTTTTTCACCAACTTTTCACAATTTGTCAATTTTTTAAAATTCAGGATACGTTTCTTTAAATCCTCAACCTTTTCGTAATTTGTGACAATTTTCTGAACTCGTGAACTTTTGAAAAATTTAACTCATGAATAATTTTAAAATTCGTAAAAAAATAACTTGTAAAGTTTTTAAAAATCCAGGAACTTTTTTTTTCCAAATTCATGATCTTTTTTAAAATTTTAACTTGTAACAATTTTCAAAGTCGTGAACTTTTTCCAATTCATAAAGTTTACAAAATTTAACTCATGAACAATGTTTGGATTAGTGAACTGTTTTTCAAACTTGTGAACTTTTTTCAAAGCTAGCGGGCAAAGCGAGCGACCGTGTGAATCTAGCGAGCAGTCGAGCGAGCCGGCATGCGCCAACTTCCAAACTAGCACTGAAAGCACCGACTAGGAGGTTCCCAAGTAGACGGCGCCACGCACAACAATTTTTTCGAAATTTTAAAAAGTTTGCCTTCTCAAATATTGTTCAAAAAGAAACAAATATTTGCATTTCAAAAAATATAGAGGAATTAAAAAAATAATGACTCTTTCAAAATTCCCAGAAATGTTAAAACATGAACACTTTTAATAAAAGAGCAAATAAAGTTTTGAAGGTGAACAACTTTTGAGAAATACAAACAAATTCAGAATTCGAAAAAAAATCTTTAAAATATGAACAATTTCTAAATTTTCTTGAACATTTTTTGTATTTGTGTAGAACTTATTAGAAAACAAGAACATATTGGAATTTTGACTGATATTTTTTTTAGTTTCCGAACTAGTTTGAAAAAAGGAAACATATTGAGCCAAGGCCTAATCTTTTTTTCTATTTTCAGCTCTTTTTCGTTAATTCGTTTTCTGTTTGTGCACTTTATTATTCTTTTTAAAACCTTTCTGCAAAATTAAAATATTATTTGGCATATAAAAATATCAATTTTATGTAAATTTAAAATTGTGATTTTAAATTATTTTTTCCTTCAAATATTAAATAATTATTAAAATAACATTTACTGTTTTAAATTTTTGCGCTTTGTATCTATTAGTTATATTAAATACTTAAAGTAATAGATTGAATTACCTATTTAAATTGCGATTTTAAATTCCCTTGTTCTTTAAAGCTAGCATTGACCACTACAACGGGCATGCCCACCTACTTGCAAAACTTCGGGTTATTTCAAGAATGTCTAAAAAACATATTTAATGTAGGGTGTCTGGTTGCGCCCATTGTTTCTCAGCATGCGTTAAATGACTATATTTTTTACTGCCTTCGATGACCTTTTCAGGCACCATGCCAAGTTGATTTTGATTTTTAGAAATTTTGCAGTTTCTTGAGTTTTCTTGGTCAAAAAAGGCTAATAAATGGTAGGACGTGTCAGAACTTGCATATGGTGTCGAAAATCATTCAAACTTGACATGGATATATACCATGGCCATGGCGACCTGGTTGCAAAAGTTAGGAATATTTCAAGCATGTCCAAAAGTAGACCATGTTGAACGGAGGGTTTTCGGGTAGGCCAGAAGACTCCGTCTGAGAGCATGTTGTTTATCAACATCTTTGAAGTGACACCATTTTTTGTGGCCTTGTATGACCAATTTTGCACCATGCGAAGTTGGTTTGGTTTTCGACAATTTTTGCATTGTCTGAAGTTTTCTCAGTCAAAAAAGACCAACAAATTGTCGGACGGGTCACGACTTGCATATGGTGGCGGAAATCATTCAAACCTGACACGAATGCCTACCATGGCAAGTCCACCTGCTTCAAAAAGTTGGAGTCATTTCGAAGATGTCCAAAATTAAAACATGTTGAACGAAGGGTGTTCGGGTAGGCTATAAGGCCCCATCCGCGAGCACGTTTTTCTCTCCATCCTTGAAATGACCCTATTTTTCCCATTGCTTTTTACGACCAATTGTAGGCATCATACAATGTTGTTTTGGTTTTTGACAAACTTTGCATTTTCTCGAGTTTTCTTTGTCAAAAAAGCCGATAAATGGCCGGAGATGTCGCAACTTACATACGGTGTTAGGAATCGTTCAAACCTGACATAGATTTCTACCATAGGCATGCCCACCTGCTTGCAAAATTTGAGATCATTTCAAAGATGTCCAAAAATAGATCATATTGAACGGAGACTGGTCAGGTAGGCCAGAAGGCTCCGTCTGCTAGCACGTTGTTTCTCAACGTCCTTGAAATGGCCCTAATTTTCTTCTGTGGCCTTCTATGACCAACTAAATGAATCATTTCAAGTTTTTTTATTTTTGACAAATTTATCATTTTTTTAGAGTTTTCTTAGTCAAAAAGGCCGATAAAGGGCAGGGCGGGTCGCATCTTGGTTACGATGTCAGAAATCTCTCAAACCTGACATGGATGTTTATCATGGGCATATGCCCATCTTCTTGCAAATATTGGGGTGATTTATTCCTGTTCCAAAAGCACCAGTTGAAGAGGAGTGTGCTAGACTATGCGAGACAAGTGCATCCGTGAGCATGCAATTTTTCTAATTTGAATGTTTCTATTATTTGCAATTTCTGTCACTGTCAATCAATATGAACATTTTCATCTGTCCTAATCATTTCTTGAAACTTTTCAACAATTTTGAAATTTTAAATTGTTTCTAAAAAATTATAAACTTTGACCACTTTTTTCCAAAATTATTAACAATTCTAAAAAAATTGATGAAAAATTGCAAACAAAATACTTTTATAAAAATTTATCAACTTTAGTTTCAAACACAAACATTTCCTAAATTTGTGAATACAAATTCAAAAACAGGAATATTTT